CAAAAAACAGAGAGTGGGGGGGTAAGGAGAAGGTAACACAGAGAGTGCGGGGGTCAGGAGAAGGTAACACAGAGAGTGCGGGGGTCAGGAGAAGGTAACACAGAGAGTTCGGGGGTCAGGAGAAAGTAACACAGAGAGTGCGGGGGTCAGGAGAAGGTCACACAGAGAGTGCAGGGGTCAGGAGAAAGTAACACAGAGAGTGCAGGGGTCAGGAGAAAGTAACACAGAGTGCAGGGGTCAGGAGAAAGTAACACAGAGAGTGCAGGGGTCAGGAGAAGGTCACACAGAGAGTGCAGGGGTCAGGAGTAACACGCAGGGGTCAGGAGTAACACGCAGGGGTCAGGAGCAGGTAACACAGAGAGGGCAGGGGTCAGGAGTAACACGCAGGGGTCAGGAGTAACACGCAGGGGTCAGGAGTAAGGGGCATAGGCATGTATGTGACTGTGCAGGAACGGCTTCCGTGTGTCTGTGCAGGGGACTGTTCCCGGTTTCATCGGCTGGAGATCATACAATGTACAGAACGTTGTATGTGATCTGGGGAGCTGAATGTCGGATTTGCTCAGATCCTTCATAGACTCCATACATGAAGTCACACCATGTACACGGTGACACCCCGGGGAGAGCAGAGTTGCCCCACGAGGGCAGGGGGACGGTGCAGGAGGATGATGACGGCGGCTTGTAGTTGAGGGTGAAGACGGGACAGATTGTTCTGCGTGTGTCGGAGAAGGAATGTCGGGTCCCTGCTGTTCCTCCAGTCATGGCCTGTAATTAGTAAGAAGTACCTGCTGGAGGGCACGCGTGTAATTACTGACTTCCCCTTTGGAGCACATGTGTACACAGCACGCCAGGCCAGGTCTCCGCTCTCCCCATCTGGATTATTTCTGATTTACAGACGACTTCTAGTAACTTTCCAACATCACCCCAAAAAAATATCCGGAGAGAGAAACATACATGATCCCCGACAACGTCACAGCAAGGAGAGCCACCATCACGTGTATTCATGACAGCAAAGAGGCGGCATCTGTAGTATGTGTATGATATGTATGATGTGTACTATGTATGATGTGTACTATGTATGATGTAGTATGTGTATGATGTGTATGATGTGTACGATGTATGATGTGTATGATGTGTACTATGTATGATGTATGATATATGATGTATGATATGTATGATGTATGATGTGTACTATGTATGATGTGTATGATGTGTACCATGTATGTGATGTGTTTCCTGGCTGCCAGTACTCATCCTCGGTGAAGTAACATGTAAGTAGGTCAGGTATCAGATCTTTATGTGATAGTAATTATCCGTCTCATATCGTCTCCGATCTTCACCCGAGGCAATCCAGATATTCCTCTTCTCCTCACCGGGAACTGCAAAGCAGATCAACTGCCACAACTTCCCCCCGCCCAGAACATGACTATCCGCAGGCTTCATCCTCTGCAACACCTACAGTGCAACTCCGGCCTCCCCTTCAGTCTTCTATCTGACCTCCGTCCACCCCTTCAGTCTTCTATCTGACCTCCGTCCTCCCCTTCAGTCTTCTATCTGACCTCCGTCCTCCCCTTCAGTCTTCTATCTGACCTCCGCCCTTCCCTTCAGTCTTCTATCTGACCTCCGTCCTCCCCTTCAGTCTTCTATCTGACCTCCGTCCTCCCCTTCAGTCTTCTATCTGACCTCCGTCCTCCCCTTCAGTCTTCTATCTGACCTCCGTCCTCCCCTTCAGTCTTCTATCTGACCTCCGTCCTCCCCTTCAGTCTTCTATCTGACCTCCGGCCTCCCCCTCAGTCTTCAATCTGACCTCCTTCCTCCCCTTCAGTCTTCTATCTGACCTCCGTCCTCCCCTTCAGTCTTCTATCTGACCTCTGTCCTTCCCTTCAGTCTTCTATCTGACCTCCGTCCTCCCCTTCAGTCTTCTATCTGACCTCTGTCCTCCCCCTCAGTCTTCTATCTGACCTCCGTCCTTCCCTTCAGTCTTCTATGTGACCTCCGTCCTCCCCTTCAGTCTTCTATGTGACCTCCGTCCTCCCCTTCAGTCTTCTATCTGACCTCTGTCCTCCCCCTCAGTCTTCTATCTGACCTCCGTCCTCCCCTTCAGTCTTCTATCTGACCTCCGTCCTCCCCTTCAGTCTTCTATCTGACCTCCGTCCTCCCCTTCAGTCTTCTATCTGACCTCCGTCCTCCCCTTCAGTCTTCTATCTGACCTCCGGCCTCCCCTTTATAGAGACTATTCACCAGACAAATGGAGAGGGTGGTAAGCTGCAGTATATGACATGTCTGTTTTGGATTTAGTTATAAGCCCTGAAGAAGGAGATATAGAACCCCTGAAAGGAGGCCGACATCAACCTTTAATAAATACCCCCGTGGTCTGCCTGTGTGTGACCACCCGGAGATTGTGGTAGCTGATGACGTGCATTGTGCAGTTCTCTCTCCTTTTCCTGTCCTTGTTGGCTCATCGCATTTATTTGTTTATCTTTTAGGAATTTTGGAATTCATCAGCCTGGCTGTCGGTCTCGTCAGTATCCGTGGCGTGGACTCCGGTCTCTACCTGGGAATGAACGAGCGAGGAGAACTGTATGGGTCGGTAAGTTTGATATTTTCCTGATTTGCTAATAAAGCCAAATAACAAAAAGCCATAAAAAATGAGGAATAAACGTAGAATTCATAGACTTTGGTATGCGATTCCCTGGCCTCTATCTCCATAGACTTCTGTAGTGTCCTCCCTGAACCGGACACATCTAT